CCGCATGTTTTGTCAATCTAACTGCAATGAAGACATCCCTATCCGACTGGCCAGTGGAAATCCATAATAAAACTCTAGGAAAGGTTCCTCTGCTGTGCTTTGACTTTTCTCCCCATTTTCTAGAGTGTTTTAGTATGCATTCTTAGGATTTTCTCCCCAGTTGGTTCTAGGTTTTCAGCATTTTTCAAAATGCTGAGAAAACACAATACTTAAAGGTCACTAAATACCACTATTTTCTAAATCTCATCCATTCTGTTTGCCTGCAGCTAATGGGGTTATGTCCATAGACTTGCAGTAACTTTCAAACAACAGTCATAAATACTAAAAATCATTTTAGGTCCAGGTAGCATGTAGAATGGGGATCTGAATGTAAAGCAACCTTAAGACAGGCTTTAAGATTTTTTGGAAAAAGTAATAGCCAAAGTTTAAGCTGCCCACATTTATTTCAGGTTAATATTTCACAATACTTTCATGTCAAAATGAAAGGAAACTTATATTTACTGGTGCAGGAAGAACATCAAGTTGGAAACCTCCCCTCGAACAGCACAATAATCCATTTCAAGTTTCTGAAATATTTTAGTTATTTGTATTACCACCTCTAGTACAAGTTTGGTGAAAAATAATCCTAAATTTCTCATGATCTTAGCAACGCAGAGGCCAGATATTCCAATAAATTATCAAACCATGCTTTGACAGCTTATCATATTTTGACAACCCTGAATATGTGCACAAGAAAGTTGCTAAAAATCTCAAGATTTTAGATGGTTTTGCTTAAATTTGTACAGTGGAGCATTTATTACCCATCTCTATGTAACTTTAAAAGTATGCATATAGACTTCTCTATTGCTACGTTAGCCTTGTTTTACAGTGGAATCATAAACTATTCAGAAATAGCGTACGATAGACACGTGTGATGTTACCCATGACAACTTGCCATCTAAACCATCCATTTTCATGTCTCAAATTTCCTGGCCAACTTTTGCTTACACCTGATGTCACACTACCTAATTCACCAAACAGCATAACGTTACAACATGACAAATACTTGACAACAGAAATTTAAAATGCTGAAATTCAACACATCTTAGTGAGCAAAATATATCTCAAAGCTCCATTTAGAAATATTGATGACTTTTAAGCGTTGTAGCAATCCTGCACAGTGCAACTGTGAAATTTAACGTATTACAAATTTCATCACAGAGTTGATTCTTAAAATCAATTTGGATTTTGCCACGCATATATTGTCAAGATAAATCTAAGATTATAGTATACAATTAATGGAATATGCTTATAGCTATGTCTGAAATGATCACACAGCATAAGTGAAGCTGCAGATGGAGTGCGGCTATTTTCAGCTACTGCAAAATATGGACAATCTCTCCTGCTACTACAATTTCACGCACAGTTAGCTTCACCTCCATTTCATCCTTCTACGTTTTACACACCAGCAGTACTCTGCATCTGACAGACTGAGGCTTAAAACTTGCAGCTGTCTAAAGCAATACTGTTTAAGCTAGCTTCTAAATTAGTCTGAAAGTGAATACAAAATCTCTACAAGAGGAGAAAATAACCAAAATATTTTTTTCGTTTTACCCACAGTACAATTATGAAGTAATTAAAATGTTTCACTGGACAGGTGTCAGCAGAAGTTAAGAGCAAGACAAATACTGGGTAACACGAGAACCTCACAGCTATTTTCCGCAATGTCAATTCACAGAATACTGGACCAATAACAAGACCAGGATTAATAAACATCTTTCAAGGACATGAAACAGTTGAAATCTGTAAACATCTCATTTGAGGTTGCACTGATGCTATGCAGCACAAAGTATTTTTAGGACTGGGCATATTTCACAGATCATTTGTGAAAAGTAGCAACGATACACAACAGTTCTCAGATACACATGCTATCCCCTTACCTTTCATTTTAAATTCTCATTTAAAACTCAAGCGCAAGTCATGCAATAAACTAACTCTTGCTTTCTCTATTTCTAACACTTGCCACACACTTACAAGGAGAATTAACTTAAAATCCTGAAGTCTGTCCTGGAATTCTAATAGTTTCTAAGTCTGTTTGCAGCACAGACTACCAACACACTGTCACATGATAGAAACAAATATCTGCTAACCTAATAAACAAGCTAGGTCATGTACTGGAATCATGGTTCAGGGAAAAAAAAAAAGATTCATGTACTTGGAGGATGTTCAAGCATGTAGTCACAGCATTCACAAAACCCAGAACACCACTGCTCTGGAACTCAGCAACATGTAAGGTTGCTAATCAGCAAGTCCGACATCTTACATCTAGATGCAGGTTTTTAGAGTAAGATTAAAAAATTCTTCAAGCAAGAGGGTACAACTTTTAAGATTTTCAACATCCATTCACTCTCGACTATCAAATTTTCATTAGAAAGAAGATTTCTATGGTAACCTGAAAAAAACTAGGGAAAGGGGGAAAATACAGCAAAAGGCAGCATTTAGATTTTCTATTCTGCACATATATCATGAAAATACTACTTCAGCAAGAAGCTACTATAAATTAGATTGTTAATTTTTATGTAAGAGTGAAATCAAACTACAGACACCTATTACAACCAGCACTATGTTAAAACACAAGTCAATCCAAAATGTGATGATTCTGAATACAATCTGTTGAGATAATATTCGTGGTCATTTCTCCCGACACTAATTTTCCACTGGCTAGTCTTCAAGGGAAATTACTCAGCACAAAGTTAAAAAAAAAAAATTAACAAAACCAATCAGCAAATCCAAAATATACATTTCCAAGCACTGGTAACAGCATAAAAAAATTTCCACCTTCTGAAACAGCATTCAAAAGAATATTGGAAAGGATGCTATAATTTAGCATTCAACCATATAAACACAATGTTAAAACAATCCAATATTTCCATTCATGCACACAGTACAGAAAGCCTGCATTCAAACTTGGATATGGAAATGCATGGAAATAGTATCATAATCACTCCTATAACTCAAGCTGATACTTAACATGCTAGCTCCAAATCTGAAGTATCACTTGGATTAAATTTTTTCAAAAATGCCACAGCAGAAAGAAAAGGTAATAATAATCAAGACGTACACTGAATTGTGCTATAACAGCAAATTGTTCATATATACTACAAAGCACAAGCAGAAAATGAAACTAGGTAAACCAATACAAATAGATTAAAAAACCAACAACTTATAATACATGATCTCTTCTTTCCTGTGAATATACAACAAATTCTGGTTCACTGTGAAGGGATTTGTCAAACAACTGTGAGACCCTGTCCAGCCCTATGCTATTTGTTCTACTACATTCAGCATGACTAAAATAGAAAAAGTTTTGCGACTAAAAATATTTACAATGTAAAGCCCTGACCACAAAATGGCATTTGATTAGTCTTACACAAAAAGTGTGATTATCCATACAGTGAAATCTAGGTCTGATTGGGGATAATCAGAAAAACATCTATTGATTTAAATTCTGTTCTTCAATCCAACTTTTATTAATGCAATGTTTACAACACAAACCAAGTTACATCCTTGAGTAAATTACTGATAAATTGATAAAAGAGTTTTTTTTTTTTTTTTTCCCCTCAGAAGTCACATTGACAGAAATGCAAGATAAATCCTATAGTTTATTTTACCAACAAATGAGGACAGGAAGACTTGCTGCTGCCACCACAACTGTTACTGATTGTGGTACACAACCACAGCACAGCTGGAGACCCTCTCCTATTTTGCCATTCCCTTTTAGTACATTTCATTAGATTTTATTCTGAAACTTTTCAGCTTTTGTGTGTGCACATGTAAATGTATAGATATGTACATGCATATATATGTAAGAACTGAAGCATTTTCCAGAGACAAACTTTTCCTTTTTAAGATTCATGTATCTAGCAAAGAAAAAGTCTTCAATATCAAGTCCCATTAGGACTGTACTGAAATGTTACTGCAAGCATTCTTTTGACAATATATGAAACAGCACAATTTCCAGTCTTACCTCTTACCGTAAGTGTCTCAATATTACGGAACTACTAATCATTAATTCTCTCCAAATCTCAAACACTTGCTTCTTGATATTTAATATATTGTACCTGATCAGTGATTTTGTTAAAAATTATAGGCAGACTTTTTTTTTTTTTTAATATTATGCTGAATTTAATTGACAGGAGAAACCTGTCAATTTCCTCACTAATTTTGTGTTGTCAGTTGTTTAGCTATCTCCTAGCCATTAAAAATAATTTCAGCATCTCTTCTTCTTGAAATCACTACTTTCTGGTAATTGATTGGTCTTCTACGTATTCTAGAGTACTCTTAAATCACAACATATTTGAAAGCATGTATTCTTTTCAAGAGCTCTGTAAAAACTCTTCCTTGCCGACATACCTTAAGCAAGGTAGATATCTATTTACTACAGATAAAGGAAAGGTTTTGCCTTAGGCTAACTGATTGAAGCACAGCACAGGCTCTGAGCAAGACCATTCCCAATATTTCCAGCTGTTAGAACCTAGCTGTTCTCACTGCTGCAGAATGGAGTTGAGCAACCCTGCTTCTGTCAGGTTTGTGCCACTTCAGGAGCTGACCTGATGGCTGCACCAGCCTTTTGTTCCTAGGGACTGAACTGAACTATCCTGACATTACATTATGGGTCAGTGACCAAGCAAGAACACCAGTCTCCTTAGCCTCTTTTTGCACCCTCTTCAAATCCCATACATCTTTCAATTTAAAGCTGGACATAGCTCCCATTAGTCACTTCGCACTAGAGAAGGGCTGTCACAGAACCAAAGGTTCCTCTGCTCAAAACAGGGACGTTATTTTAGAGCAGCATGGCACGCCTGTCAATCTAGATGCTATGTATATTGGACTATCAAGAAACGTTGCATTTTCCTCTTGAGATTATAATCCAGATTCTCATATGTTTTTAAAATAAAAAGTTTCATAAACGTAACATAATGTATTAAATTATTCCACATAGGATTTGGTCCAAAACCCACCTTTCTAGTTTCCAACTGAGCTTCTTCTTGGCAGCACTGCCTGCAGAACGGATCCAACTGATTCAGATTGAACTGTCCAAGAAGGTTGCAAGAACTGCACAGCAAGTTACTGGAGAAGCCCAGCTCCCTGCAAGCTTCTGATGACAACTGTGCTCCGTATACACTTATCTGAAAATCAATAAAGTGTTATACTTTAGTATTAAATTAGTTGTTTAAAAAAAGGAAGATTTTAAATGCTTTAATGATTAGGAAGAACAAATAAGTCTCTTGTGACCATTTTGCAATAACGCCTAATGGTCTGCCCGTAAGTGCAAAACACCACCTTATTTTGAACAATGGTCTCAAACTAAGAGTGAATTCTAGACACTCATAATACGTATATTTCAAGATATCAGACCTGCCAAAACTCATTTATATGTACTTCCAACAACTCTACTGCTTTCCTATTGCTAGCTCCAAATTAAGAAAAACACAAACATAATGAATCAGCTGAAATGCACATGGCTACAGCTCTCTAAAGCCTGCTCTTTCAAAAGAATTTCAGTAAATTTCATACCACTGAAACCGCACTTGGAAAATAAGTATAACACCTAAGCTTGGGAAAAGCACAACCAGGGAGTGATGAAACGGACCAAACTGCTCAACAAGGCATACAAGTAGCATTTTAATTTCACGTTTGCCTTAATGTTACAGGAAAATCGCATACTAAAAGTGGAAGTGTAGATAAAAACCTGCAATTCTGATTTACTAGTAATACATTAAAATAGGCAACTCAATTACACGCCTTCTATGTAAAATACCAGTTCTGTTTTTAACGAGCAGCAAAAACAATTTTACCAACTATCCCAGCACTTAAATGATATTTGGGTTTTAGTTTTCACATTCCCACTTCCCTACCCAGGGATTTCTCACACCCTAGCTTAAAACCTTTCCTTCCAGCTGCATGGTGGGGGGCAGGGGGAAGGGAGAAGACATTAAGCAAGCAGAGAAAGGAGACAGTTTTCCCAGATGCTTCTTAGTCTGGGTGAAAGACCTTGGGCAAAACCCACATCTAAAGCACCAACAAAACAATCAGCAAGAATCTCTGTGTTCAGAGATGATACCAGCAAACTGGACTGGATGATAACAGACCAAGAGTCAGAATTATTATGCTGGGCCAAACAGAAAAATACAGAAGAAAAACCAAGTTTGTCCTTCAGCAAATCAGACTGCTCTTCACATTCACCCATCATTTAATATATACAGCATACCCAAGTAAGGCACAGACAAAACCCACTTCCTCCCCTGAAGCGGCCAACCTATAGCCAAAGACATGTCACTGATGTGACAGATAGGAAATGTTATGGATTAGGAATTGGTAGAAAATATATTAGGTGCCTCATTATTCTGTTTCTCTGTATCTGCTAAAAAAGTTAAAGCATGAACAGAAAAGTATAATATACAGACAATTATTTTGAACTTACTAGTCTGTCATGCAGAAAGCTATTTTTCTCCTTCCTACAGCACTCTGCTAAAGGAATTTCTATATACGACAGCAGGCAAGCAAAAATGGGACCCTATTCTACTGGAAAAATCTATTATTTATTTATTATTATTTCTGAGGGATTCTGGCAATAAAAGAATATAACAAGACCACAGCAGTATGGAAAATCCAAGGAGGATGCCAAACAGTGCCAAAGCTGCATTTTAATTATTGTTCACTTATTCATGATGATGACAGTAGTTAAGACAGTTTTCTTGCACCTTGCTGCTTGCCATCCACCCCTTTTATGCTTTACTGTCATCATTGCCTCACTTTTGAATCCATTCACCTGGGAGCAAAAATGGTATTACTGGCATTGCCATTTTGCTTCCACCAGCAACACTCCTCACACCTGTCCCCAGCCCAGCTCTAGAGCATCTGTGTATATAATGCCAATACTCTCCTGTTTTTTGGGAGAGGACACACCAACCAAAAACAAACAGCGTACGAAAGCAAGTCAAGGCTCCATTACAAGAGAAATCGTCAGTGAAGAAGTTCTGGTTACATAGGAAGGTCAAAAGAGTTTGAGAATAAGACCACAGAGAGGGGGAGGAGGGAGGAAAAAAAGAAAAAAAGAAGAGGAAGAAACTGGCTCTCCCTAGGATTTTTCCTCAGTTTTTAGTACCATAACTATTGTACTATCCTGAAATAATAATACTAATTATAATAAACGTCTCTGTTTAGGATTAGGAAAGAACCCTCACATTTCTGAAGCTAGTTTCCCATCAGAACAAGATAATTCCAGCTACTTAGCCAGTGATGCGCCTCATTTCAGCAGCACGCTCTCCTTTACAGCTTTGACTACAAATACACGTTACGTGACTGCTTTGCTTTCACATTAGATAATTTAATATATTAAAACAAATGCAGCATCGCTACAAATTACTTTAGGGAGTACTTAACAGTTATTAGAGTGAAACATTGGTACGGGTCTTTTGTATAAACTCATGTCTCTGGAGCTCAGGTGGGTCAGAACTTCATCAGGGGCACTAAAATAGAGAAAGCTGACCTGTCTGGAAAACCTCGAGGGACAGCCTTTCACAGAAATCAAAAGCCACCTAGCTTCGCTTTCCAAGCCCATTCTCAACTGTGTTACCCGGGTCACGAGGTTTATAACACCACACAAATCCCATTAAGAAAATGGGCGAGGAAGCCTGTAAATTTCTTTCAACAGTCACTGCAACACCCACACCGATCGCCGCGTTTTCCGAGCTAACAGGGCAAACGGGGCCGCGGCGAGGGAGAAGGCGGAGGGGCGCTTGGGCTTCCAAACGCGGCCCTCGCAGCCTGGAGGAGTAGAGGCAGAGGCAGCAGGAGGGAAGAGGGCAGGAGCAGAGAACAGCCTCCGACAAACAGAGCAAACGAGGCGGCCACAGAGGCAGGAGGGGGACGAGGCACGGGACGACGCCTCGGGGATGGGACGGGCAGGGCAGGGCCCGCTGCCTCCGCCTCCCGCTATGGGACAC